CTTTACTATCCTGGTTGTACGGAACCTCACGCAAGACCCCTACAGCACGTCCTCGTCGTGCGTCACGGATAATGTCTCAAATGAGCATTAACAGAGCTGTCAGGGGATCTCGGATTTCGGCGGCCCCCAGAGGTGATGTGTCCTTGTGGCTCTCATCAGCCCGCCCCCAAACGCTTGGGTGAAAAATGTTATCAAAACTCATTAGGAACATGAGTAAGTTTGCCAAACGTACAGCCAAAATTACAACCCTTGGTTAAAAGACTGCGGAGTAAAGAGAACACTGTTCACTGCACATCCTCTGTTAACCCTCAGTGTCGTCGGCACCGTGCTGAGGTATACACCACAACAGCAACCATCCATAGGCTGGCCATCCTTGTACATCCTCGGTTAACCCTCAGTGTCGTCGTCACCGCGCTGGGGTACACCACAACAGCAACCATCCATAGGCTGGCCATTCATGTACATCCTTGGTTAACCCTCAGTGTCGTCGTCACCGCGCTGAGGTACACCACAACAGCAACCATCCATAGGCTGGCCATCCTTGTACATCCTCGGTTAACCCTCAGTGTCGTCGTCACCGCGCTGAGGTACAGCACAACAGCAACCATCCATCGGATGGCTAAGCCTAAATGTCCGACAAAACTAGATCATACGGATCAAAATCTGACCATCAAAATTTATATTGAACTGAAAAAGACCGAATGTCCACACCCAAAGACCCCACTCGCCCGAGTGTTGGGACAAAACTGATAACGATATGTCTGATGCAGGATGTAAAATTCTGTCGGGCTAACGGCTCGTCAAAGAAATTTAACGTGCGAAGAAAAAAAAAAGAATGTACCTATCTGTGTGGTCACAAAAGTCCAAAACCCACGGGCTTCTCCCCGCTGACTTCCAGAGGGCGCAGACCCTGTCGAGCGGGAGGCCTGATACGGTTGTGAGGTTAAGCAGGCATGTGCAGGACGTGACGATTCCTTGGGTGAGCCCAGAACCAGAGCGCCATGTGCCGGCTCTGCATGCATGAAAGCCTCCTTGGATGGCGGGGAATGCCCATGATCTGCCCCTGCCTTCCCTTGAGGGCTAACTGTTCCACAGGGGGCTGCCCCAAAGGGGTACTCCGGGGGCAATACCTGCGGCGAAGGAGACAAAGTGGACACCACACAAGTCAGGCAACGTCTCGACCCACACAAAACAATGGCCACAGTCACCCTAGAAATAGGCCTGACGTCTTCCTTCGAAGTCGGAGTACAGCTGCCCAGGAGACAGGGAAATTAAAAACGGTTGTACACGCAAAAATCAGGTCCAGGTGAAAGCCAAAAGTCCAAGCGGACGATTATCCTGGACCTTCCACTGGAATTCACAGCCGGTGATCGAAAAAAAAACCAAAAAAAAAAACAAAGCTACAATTTAAAAAAAAAAATGTGTGTGTGTGTGTGTGTGTGTGTGTGTGTATCTATATAAAAATATATACACTTTTTAAAAATTCTAGCGAGGGCTTAAACCCAGGACCTTCTGCGTGATAAGCAGGTGGGATAACCACTACACCATAAATGATGTGATCATAATTTTAAATTTAATCCCCAGTATTTAACACTGTGCGGCGTCTGTGGCTTAGGCGTTGCGAGTCCCACTCGTAATTCCAACGTACCGCGATCGAAACCAACTGCTGGCTGCTTGGATTTTTATCTTGGTATGGGGCGTCGCAGGTCGATCCAGCCTAAAATGGGTACCAGGATTATGTCATGGGGAAGTAAAGATGACCGGCGTAATGCTGCCCACATTACCCACCTAGTGCCGATGGTCTGATAAAAATATGGGCGCTCTTCCCATAAACCCGATGCGTCTAAAGGCGTGACAAGGGATCTCTACTTACTTAACACTGTGTCATTGCACTGAATGTATTTGTTATATAGGGAAAAGTTTAGGTTTTCGTCCACTTCTAGACTTTGGTCTGATTCCAGAATGTGAATTTTGCATTCAAAACAGAGGACAAAATATGATCTTATACTTTCTGTGGACTGAACATAGTAACGTAAGTAAAGTAAAGATCCCTTGTCACGCCTTTAGGCGCATCGGGCATATGGGAAGAGCGCCCATATTTTTTCAGACCATCGGCACTAGGTGGGTAATGTGGTCAGCATTACGCCGGTCGTCTCTTCTTCCCCAGGACAGCCATCCTGGTAGCCATTTTAGGCTGGGTCGACCTGCGAAGCAACATACCACGATAAAAATCCACGCATCCAGCAGTGAGTTTCGATAGCGGTACGTTGGATTACGAGTCGAACTCGCAACGCCTAAGCCACGGACTGAACCTAGAGCTCTTGCTAAAACAATGCGATTACCACGCCCCAAACTGGCCTCACTCGGAAAAGTGAAAGAAAATGTTATTTATTCTCCAATTTATGTAGTACAAGTCCAAAGAAGGAGCCAGCACAACAGAAGCCATCTGTCTTCAAATTTCTTTTGGTGGCCGTCGTTTCCTCCAGTTTGCCAATATCCTATTTCAGTACATGTTTGACGATTCCCTGTTTGTCTCTTCTCAGAATTTTCTGTTTTTCTAATTCAGGACCTTAGTTTTGATCTAAAACTAGAACTTTGCATGCATATCTATGCAGACGTATATGTTCGCTAAATCTGGAAAAGAAACATTTTTAAATAGGGAGATTCCCCGTGTGGGTTCTGGGGCCTTATTATGAGGAAAACCAGAATAGACCTATTGCCTACCCAAAAGCATGTCGTAAAAGTCGACTAATTGGGAGCTTCTTTTGAAGTCAGAGTGCATCTGCCTAAGAGGCAAGGAACCAACAGTTTGCATTCAAGTGAATCAAATCTGTAAAACTGATGCACACGCAACACTCAGGTTCTGGAGCAGGAATACAGTCCAGAAGTGGACAAGCAACCAGAACTTCCCGCATGAGTGTACAGCTGGTAAATGAAAAGAAGAATAAGAATTAATAGGGAGTGACAGCCAAATGTGATTTTTAAAAATTAATGTGAGGTAATAGAGAAGAAACATGTGTGAAGGGATAAACTCCAGCGAAAGTTTACTTTCACTGATTGTTGCAAAAAATAAAGAAATGCACTTAAACCTGGCTACTGATGTGCCGGTTAAAACAAACATTTTAGTTATAACAGCAGTTTGGAAATTCAACCCTTGTAGTGGTCACGGTTTTGGAGGAGTTGATAGTTGACTTAAAATGAACACACAAAGTACGGGAAGGCATTTATGCTTTATAGTATAGATGTATCCGGGGTACTCATATCTATATATAATTTATTCCTGATCATCATATAAAGTCAGGAATCTGTCTTTTTAGTACAGGCACTTTATGCTTTGCATTACAACCATTCCAGTAACATACTTTAATCCCAGTCCTTCCTTTTTTTGAATGTCTGACTCTCTGGGCTCATGCCCTTCTATTTCTATGCCTCCTTCTTTCTCCTTTTTCTTATCTTCTCCTCTGTCCACTCTCTCAATTGCCAGCCTAAGATGACGTCAAGCACAGAGCACGCAGTCCGTAGCTCCAGGAATAATTTTTTTAAAGTACAAAATCCATAGAAAAACTGTGTAAGTGCTGGAAGTAAACAGTCACCAAAGTATGTCCTGCTTACCAAGGGAGAGGTAGAGGCTGCAAGGTTTCGAGGCATGGCATCTGCCTCAAGTGCTGGAGGTCCCAGGTTCAAGACTCCGGTGAAGGCTGGGATTTTTTCACGCTGACTTCTAGTAATTTACCCCGGTCTCTGTAGATTGGACGCCTGTGTGTATTGTTGCACATGTAAAAAAAATATCCCTTGGCAGTTAAAAATCGAAAAAGAGTAGCCTGACGGCGCTGCCTGGGCAAAATATGGAGTTAAAAATCTACCCAAAGTATTTAAGGATCTTCGCCGGTGCTGCGGAGTTAGTGGATTGCGCTGATATTCTTCGGACTTAGGCTTGAGTCAGAAGTAGAACGGAGCACTTATGGGTTACTACCCTTGTGCTATGATGGTGATCCGTCGTTGCAATCTAAACTTAAGGAAGAGGCAGAGTATGTCCTAAAGGAGCCCATTCACATGGTGCAGTGGCTCCCATGCAGCCTATTAGCAGATAGGTCCACCTAAGGCTTATGGTTAACTTATCGAGCTTATTTCCTCTCACAGCGTCTGTGGCTTATTTCTCTATGAGAATTTCCATGAATCATTTGTCAATTCTGATTCTGTAGCGTCCGTTAGCCAATCCCTGCAGTCAGGGCCCACTATGATCAGAACCCTACACAAGTCTGACTTTTGCTGGAACATTCGGATTCTCTCCTCGTCCAAATGCTTTCAAGCCTGCAGATATGTCTAATTGTGTCTTTAGCTTGCGCCATCCAAGACCTTCCATTTTTCAGACTGTGATGCTTAGCTCTGCCTAGGCTTCGTGTAGGAGTTTTTTTTTTAGACCATAAAAAAAAAAACAAGCCAAACAATTTCTTGAAACCTCGGAGATGTAGTTTTACAGAAAAATCGTTAGAATTCATTGAACAGCCAAAAGTAGTAATCCATATATTTTAAAACAGGCAAGTCTTCGAAGACAACTTGTCACAAACATCAGAAAAAGAAAGTCACAATATTTTGGTTATATTATGAGAAAGTAACTAGAAAGATCTGTGGAAAAGAGACAGAGGAAGACAACGCAAAACGATTCTTGACAGTCCTTTGTCATGGCATGAACAGGTGTCCACACACGAAATGTCACATGCTGTTGCAGAACGCAGACTGTCATGAAGTATGATCGTCAGAGCGTATCGGCAAGGCACTCACTGATAATAATGATGCAATTATTATTTCAGTTTTCGTGTCACTTGCGAAGGATATATTTTGTTCCGTTAAAAGTGTATGATTTTTGCACCGCTCTTATTTGAAAGTCGGAACCGGAACACAAGAGTTATATGTTATATTCCTTACCCGATTACAAGCGTCAGGAGCCAGAGGATATCTGAGACTCGGCGGAATATATAGTTCAGTTTTTAAGTGTGAAAATGACATCTGTAGAGGATCTCTACAAAGCTTTCGCCGTACTAGCTGATGCCAAGGATAAAGCGGGCGAAGTAAATGCTTTATATTTATATAATAGGAATATGCTACACGCTAATATGTATTTATGAATATTCCCCAGTTATCGATAAATCATAATCCATAGCAACAGCCGGCGACCAGTTTTTGTCGAGTTGTGTAAATTAAAATTGTTTTGTTTGTTAACAGTTAAATAACAATGCTGGCACAGAAGCCTCATTTTTGATTATAAAGAATAGTCCTACTACTCCTGTAACAAGCTTGTTGTAAAAGACGATTAATTATTAAGGGGTGTTTCCCGGTTCCTCCATCGTGCAGCAGCTCGCTGATTTGGTTTGGATTTGCCAGAGTCGAAAAACCAACATTCTGCGTGAACACGTCACTTCATAATAAACCAGATCTCTACAACAGAACGAAGCTGCGGGCAAAATTCAAGCTCTGGGGCAAAACCAGAAGTTTACAAAGGCAACACTTTTCGCCATAGTTCATCAAGAAGAAAAAATGTCCCTTGGTTTTCAGCTTTAATACTAATAATAAATAAGTTGTAAACTAATTATAATAATAAATGGGCATGTATGGTAGCTGTGACGTACAGAACAGACATTTATGATTTTGTCTCTCCATTTATAATTGAATTCAAAATAAGGCACCATTCAGTTCGCTTTTAACGTCTTAGTAGACCCAGCAGGTCCACCCTCGCCTGACAATTTTAGTGATTCTGATGAACTGTTTTAAATATTAAACTGTTTAAAAGTGCCCAACTTAGATTTAATTCAAAGTTTACTTTTAGTTGATGTATTTTGAAACAAGTAATTTAGTTGGTATTGTCCATTATGCCTGAGAGTTTTGCCCACTTTATTCATGTAGTTTAGCCCGTCAGTGAACTGTGAAGATCATTGCCTGGGTGTGGTGGCCATACATAAGCTAAGTAAAGAGAATGAAGATGTGAGCCAGGTAGAATCTTGGACTATCCCTATGGATAAGTTTTTTTATTACATGTTGACAAAATGCAATTCTGTAAAGTCATTGTTTTTTACATTATTTCTACAGCCTCAAGGGTTCTCCTCTGTTTATTTATGTTGTTATACTATTACTATGTGTTACATGTAACACAATGGAACTGACTAATCAGATATCTCTTTCTAAACTTTCTTGAACATTTGTGGCATTCTAGACATAGTGTTACAGTCCGTTATGTTTATAATTGTTATTGTGTTTGTTATTCAACCTATGCTGGTTTATTGTTTATATAAATTTCTGTAACTGTGGTGCCATTTCAATTGTTTGAGATGAATTATGTCCATATTCCATAGTTGTGGATTTCAAGCTGTGTGATATTGATAGAAATGGCCAATGAAGATACCTTTATTGTCTGCCTAGTTGGTCATGTTCTTAGTACACTTGTGTCTATAGCCAGGCGCACGCGCCATTTAGATGTTACAGGGTTGATTCCCGGCACTGTAACTATATCTGATAAGTATGTTGTCTATTGTGTCCTTATGTCTTTCTATGAGTGGCGATCAATACATCTTATTATATATATAAAATAGTTAGGGACCCCTATCATGTGACCAGGCATATGGTGCTAGACCCATATTTGTATGTCATTCTGTGGGTGATATAGTTATACCAGGATAAGAAAGATACTGATCAGAGAGCTGCTGTCTGCAGATGATGCAATAATTACCACCCACTCAGAGGAAGAACTGCAATGTTTACTGTCTGTATTTTCTGATGCATGCTGTGAATTTGAACTAACAGTCCACAGAAAGAAGACAAAGGTTGTGGCCAGGGTGTAAAGGATAGACTTGCAGTCTTCATTGATGGCGAAGAGCTGGAGACATTGGACCTATCTGGGATCCATAGTGAATCTGGAGAATGGAGGATATTCTGTTGAATTAATGACGAGTGGAAGATGTTGAGTTGTCCTCTACTGTCATATAAAGATGTGTGCAAGCGGGACATGGAGGATGTAGGTATTGAGGTGGACTCTTTGGAATAAACTGCCATAGACCATGTTGTGTGGAGGGGTACATGAGGAAGGAAATGAGAATAAAGGAAGAAAGGATAAGAGCTGCGAGTCTAAGAAGAAACAGACTAAACGCAAATGTTTACTACAACAGCGGTCCTAAAATCCCATGCTATAAATGTGGAAGATTTCTTAACGCGGTCGGGTCTTGCTAGTCACACTCACCATCGCTATGGGCAGAGTACATGCCTTTTCATATCGCATTATAACACTATCACCTGGTAAGACAGAAAGATGCGAATTATAGTCAAAATCAAGGCAGTCATTACTTTCCAGGACATATCTTGATGCCCGCTTTTTTCTTTGGCCAGGAGACTATTTTATTCTCTTCTCTCACTTTGAATTCAAATTTTGTTCGTGCAAACCAGGAAACTTCTGAATCTAGACACTAGAAACCCACAGCTGTGTATAATTATCTACTGTAAAAATTGTTTCCTGGCTTTGAAGTTTTCCAAAGTTTTAAAATTAAGTATCATCTTTTGCATAATACACAGAATGTGTTTAAAATATTTATTTCTTATCTATAGAAGAAAAAAAAGGGAGGGGGTGTAGTACGTGGGGGCACCATATACACAAAAACACATATGGTAAATACTGTCATACATTACATTATAAGTAAATTATGTGTACGGAATATACTAATTATTGTAAATTTGGTTGTTATATCAGTTAATATTTCTTTCTACAGCATGAAAAGGAATTTCGTCTGTTTCTTGCTGCAGCAAAGGGCAATATCGGAGAGAAAAGACTGGCATCTCAGTTCATTTGCAGATTCTTCAAATACTTCCAGAATGCACAGGAGGATGCTATCAATGTTCTGTTTGAACTCTGCGAAGATCCAGATGCCAGTGTGAGTTTGTTAGTGCCTCCATAGATTCATCAATCAGTCAAGTACATTCTGGTTTTTCTGTATCTTCATTTTAAATGAAGTACATTAATGTCCATCTTTTGACAGTATCATACTAACATATAAGATTATCTTCCTCTTCTGTTTCACCTCTGCCTTTTCCTTCATCATCTCTGCTAGCAAGATGTTTCTTGTTTTATAACGTTTGATCTCATTTGGTATTTTCTGAAATCTGTTTTGTTTGTAATACTTTATTTGTCATCTTCTCATGTCATAATATATATATAACCACTTTTCGAAACATTGATGTTGTTCTGTAATTATTTATTCATTATTTGTATTTACGCGCCTTATAATAATGCAGACTAAATAATTGTAAACATATGTCACACCTAATCAGTTTTTTAATGGAAACTTGGGATCAAAAATGGGGTCTTTACCTGTAGTTAGAAACCTAAAAAGTAAGATTGTAAAAGAAAGTACAGTTATAGTTGTTAAACACACAGATTCACAAAAATGTGTCAGCCGTTTCGGAACATTGTTGTTAAAATTAGATCAGTACGCTAGCATGACTCCCTAAAAAAATTGTTACAGGGTTTAGTTTGTGAACTTACAGAGTAGTTGATGAAGTCGAGTAATTCAGAGTAACCGTACGACATTGTGGTAATGGTTATAACAGTTATATAAGTGTGTGAGATAGACATTTCAAGGCATCATTGAGATTGACACAGGACAGATCTAGGAATTTGCAATGCCGGCGAGGTCACTATCATCATCATCATCATCTGTTTCCAAAGAAGCCAGCACAGGGCTCATGGATAACAATTCTATTGGTTTTTTATTTTATATTATTGATAGTTTGCCTCTCTGTTAACTGAGGCCACTGAAGTAATACTAGCTTACCATATTTGTCATAAGAGTGGGCTAATGAGGGTTGGTGGATGCAGAAGCAGCAGTGAAAGGATACTCCAGAAGCCTTCACAGCACTAGAAAAAAATTAATATTGACTAGCTTCTTTAGTATGGACCCCCTAGCCACCCCACTCCGTAGAAAAACTTCACTTACAAAATCTAACAGTCATGACCAGTAAACAGAAGAAACAAATCTCACACAACTAAGATAAAATAAGGTTTGTTTCCTAGACATATAATACACATTGTCATGCGGGAAAAGTTGTAACGAGTCTATTTCACCAACTTACTTATCGTATATCCTCTTACGTTTGAAAATTTCCAGAATTTACATGTGGAATGTTAGGTCAGTGTGGGCATTGTGAAATGACAATATTCATGATGCAGAAGCAGCAGTTAATGGATACCCCAGAAGCATTCACAACACCAGAAAGAAATTAGTATAAACAGAAAATCATTGTATTGATCTCATATAGCCATAGACATTTCTCGCCAACATTATAATGTTTACAGTGAATAGATAGGCTGAATACTTAGAGAAACTTCTGAGTGGACTAGTCCCTTATTAAGATCTCCTTCATTAAATAGATGTCGAGTGATCTCGTGAACGATAGATATATATAGTGTTCACCATGTATCCCCCTGCATGCTGTTTGGTGATCGAAAATATGAACCACCTAGCTTCCTGTACCCAATTTTTCATATGCTAAGCAAATGTGGTAATTTGTTTGGCTGGACATGTGGTAACTAAGGACAACACATTTCAAATCCTTCATATGTCAGACAGTGGCAGAACGCTAAGATTTCTTGAAGCTTCTGTGATTCATCACTTGCGCCCGGAACTCTGTGTACAGAAAGATATGGTTCTGAATTTACCGCTGCCCTGGTAAAACAGGCAGTTATGTTTTGATTGTTGTTGAAATTTTACTTCAGTTACAAATGATTCACTTTTTTGCTTCATTTATGTGATTGTTACTGTAGTATGCACCTGACAAGATACAGCAAAATATGCCAGGCAATAAATTGTGCAATCTATTGTTTGTGCCTTCTTTGTTTCAACTTGTTAAAATTTTTTTTTTTTATCGATGTTTTATAATACAGATCAGAAAACAGGCAGTCAAGGATATTCCCACCTTGTGTAGAGCATGTCCAGACAAGGTTCCACGTTTTGCAGATGCTCTAGCAATGCTGCTCAGTTCAGAGGATGCACATGAGCTGTCTGGCATTCAGGCATCACTGTACAGTTTGTTTTCTATAAATAATAAAGGTGAGCAGCTTTCTGTAAATGTGACACATGACAAGAAAATATCCCAATATATCCTGTAGCAGCATAATGGCTTGACATACAAAGGTCTAGATTTCTTCTTCTTCTTAGTGTTCACTGGCTGTAAACTCCAGCAGAAAGTTCTGGTTTGTTTGTTCACCTCTTGACTTGGGTTTTGTTCCAGAGCTTTCCAAGTGTGAGTTCTACAGCCCGGGGGAGGGGGGGGAGAGTAATAGACCCACTGCCCTTTTAACAAGCATACACCTGTATAATAAAAGTAGGCTGATTAAGGGTGTTTCCTTCAAAGTTAGGTTGCATCTGCCTGAAAGGTGGTGAATCAACCAGTCTGCATGCATACAAATAAGCCAGATCTTTGAAGTAGATATACAGGCAAAACTCAAGTTTAAGACATGGTGAAGGCTCTCTGGGATTATATGGACAGTCCAGTAGAACATACTAGGAATCCATATAATGAAAGACTAATCAAACACGGGGTAAGTAGAGGCTCTCGCAGGTATTTTACACTAAGAGGGAAATGTAAGCAGTTTAATCAGGTTGCAGTTGGTACTATTATTATGTCATCTTTTCATTGGTTTGTGAGGAAGGAAACAGGGAATGTGTGTGACTATCCTGGGTGCAGTGATGTCAATTCCTGATTCTTTCACTCAGCTCGAGTTCTGGCACAAGACTTGACATCCAGATTGGATGAGCAACCAGAACTTTTTGTCACAGCCTACATCCGATGAATGCGAAGAAAAAAAGAAACTCAAAAATTTTACTGATATGGCTAATTGTGTGTTAGTTTCTCGCCTCTCATGCAGATGCACGCTGACTTTGAGATAAGTGCCATTAATTAACCGCCTTTTATTACTTACATGTTGGGGGAGGGATCAATCCACCTTAAATAGGGCTGCAAAACCCAGATGAGAATTAGATATGCATAAAAGTAGATTTTTTTTCAGAATTGGCTTTGGTTCTCAGATTGGCCCAGCCTAAACTAGGTACCTGGAAAGTAAAGACAAAGCTGTTTGCTTTGCACTCTGAAGGGTTTGTTCCATGACTGCGACCTTCGGTTCATGAATGCAATTTTTAAAGAGATTTCTAGAGATGGTCGCTGGATCTATGTACTCATAGTTTGTGCTCTGCACAGCGCTCTTGGCAGGAGGCTTGCTGTTCTGCTGAAAGAGACCAGGCAATATGAGATGAAGCCTGGTCCACTAAAGTCTATCCTCTCGACTGTAACCATGTGATAATAGTCGTAACTAATCACTAAAGTTGATTGATGGACACTGGGGTGAAGCCAGACAACGTTTCACCAAGGGCACAATGCATATGATAAATCAACACAGAATGGATGTTATCAGTCATTTTATTCTCATGGAGCTATTAGGATCAGAGCACATGAGTCTATCCAAAGTGTTGTGATAATAGTCCTCACTAATGACTAATATTGATTGGTCTGTAAAAACATATTAAGGTTAGTTGCGTATCCTTTACATGACGTTGCAGAACCAACCCCATCAGCCCCTGGCTGTTGTGTGGTTTCACTAGGCAAATTTACGTCCAGTAGTTTGCCATTGCTTTCTGGATGGTCGGCTCCCAGATACTACTGTCGAAACCAACGCAATGCGTATAGCCCGCAGCTGGAATCGAACCCGGTACCCCAGCATTACAAAGCGTTCGCATCGAATTAGCCACAGAGCCAACTGTAAAAACATAGGTCCGGATAAAAAGGGGTCTTTTACTTATTAGTAAACACACACACACAAATTGTGGAGAGTTCTAATGTAAAATGCCAGTAGGCATACAATTACTTTGAATCCTGGGATAAAAGTAGCTAGAACTGCTGCCATTTAGCAAAACCAAAAACATGGCAAGGATGGAATAAAAGAGGGTGTTACTGTGATGATAGAAAGTGCACAGGAGCAGATCAGTAGGGAACAGACATCTTAGCACTCAGGACATTCCCTTAAGGACTCAGTTCTCATACTCAGCAGCAAGCGCAGATTTCCAATTCTGACTGAACTGGAAAGTCTGGTTGTATATCTGTCCCAGGCCTGTCCTGAATGTTAAGTGTCAGCCTGGTCACCCCTCGTTGTACAGTTCTCTTCAGATAATAGTAGAGCAGTCATTAACAACATCATTGCTGACAGGAATGGTTTTTATGGTGCATTCATGCATGAGAGCCGATCATTCTAACAGTTTAGCCAGCCATTTCTCAATAAAGCCATAGTCATTTTAAGTCACTGAAACATTTGTTGTTACTGGATGTTTATTATCATCAGTTTTCACTTTTGTCATTAAGAAACGGGAGGAACAGTTTGTGATCCATTGCTTAATGTGTAGCCATGGCTGTCGTCATTATTTTTTGATGTAAAGCTCTTTAATTTCATCAGTCCATATTTTCTTTTCATGTGTAGCACCTGTGTTGGTAGTTGTTCCTCCTGTGTTCTTACGAGATAACTAAACCATTTGATATTCTGATTATCAATTAATTTGGTGACTGGTGTTGTTCCTCCAGTGTGTCTGATTGAATAATTTCTCATTTTGTCTCAAATAGTGTTTTTGTAGGTTAGCCTTTCATAATGCCCAGATTTGGCACTGGTAACACAGTGGTAGTATGGATATGACTGTCATACTTATGTTAAATTTATCTGTTGAAATAATGTTTTTTTTTTCTTAATTTTAATCTCAGGAGCATTGGAAGGGATATTTACCCGTCTGCTGCAGACATCTGAGGATGAAGAAGGCACAGATGAGGCTGTGGCACTTGTACGCGAAAGGCTGCTGCGATTTTTGCTGACCAAGGTGAAACAGACTGGGGATCTTGAGAAAGATGTGGAAGATTACATAATGCAACAGTGCAGGAAGGTTGGTTATATGATTTCATTGTTACCCTGTCTGCGCTGTGTTATGTGTGGGTTCTTTTTGTAATTCCAAAATAGCCAGTTCGATTCAGCTGCAGCAGATTGCTTTGCATTGATTTCAGCAATGATATGGAGAGCCAAGGGGTCAGAAAAAGTGCCTAACTGTTGCACTTAAAATTTCATGGTAAAACTACAAAAAGCATGGGGGAACAATGTTCCCATTGAAAAAAAAAATAGACCTTATTTATGAACATTCTGAAGTGATATTTTGTCTCTTGGCTGCGTTGAGCACCGGCTCACAGTGTCAGATAAAAGTCCGCCTATAATTACTTTACAGACCAGAAGAGATGTAAGCCAGTCTATTTTATGCTGCATTGCTTTTTATTACTCCCCTTACTTTGTACAGTATTTGTGTTTTGAAAATTGCAGTAAAGTTTCTACATCAGCCTCACTCCAGCATGTAGGCAGCCTTTTTCAGGGCATACCAATGTATAATAAATTCATAAAACTTACTGTGTGACAATGCCTGGTTGTTCAGTCCTTGAAAATTTGGTTATAGTTCAGGCTGTAGTGTCCAAGAGTTGTCATGGTAACGTCAACAAGCATTTATAAACAGAATAAGATTGAACATTCTTTTTCTTTCTTCCCTCCCTCTACCATTTAGATCAGGGTTGGGCAAACTATTTCCAGCGTGCTTCCGGAAATGGCCCTCAGAGCCTGGCGTAAAATTGCGATATAATCTGGCCCTTGTGGTCACAAAATAGAAGAAAAAAAGAGAATAAATATACCACATAAAAAAATGAAAATCTAAACAGTGACAAACTGGAAACTGATGTCGCCAAATCTTTTATCCTACTAGTAAAATACGTGTTACGGACAAACCACCTCAGACATTCGGAGACAGTCTTTGTTGGCGGACTTTGATAATGAAATAGAAGGTGTTGACCGTTCTTTTTCTCCGGTCAGCAAGTTTGGAGGTCAGAAGAGTGGCTAACCTTCCTTAGCATCGTTTTGTCTGATGCCACCAGATTGATAATTATGAACTATGAGGACCAAAAGAGATTACATACACCTGATTGTGTCTACTTGTTTTTGACATGTCTTTCTGGTACTTCTCTTGGCATTATCTCACATTTTCACAATATTTGAACTTTGTATCCTAAAAGTTTTATTGAAGCATTTTGGTGTTTTTTATAGGAGTTGTGTTCTTTCTCCCTTATTCTTGTGTTTCTGTATCTGACACAGACAATGTATAATATATGCAGTTGCCTTGGTGTTGAGAATGGATGATTGCAGAGTACACCCTGTAAGTTGAATTAAAGACGGGTAGATGATATCGAGACTGACCTCTGCTATGATATAAATCTATGAATGATACAAGTATTGAGGGGGACTCGTGTATTGTTTTGAGGGGACACATCAGAAAGGGAATGAGAATGAAAGAAGAAAGGATGAAAGCTGAGCATCTGAGAAGAAACAGACTAAACACAAATGTTGACAACAATGATCCATGAATTCCCATGCCAAAAGTCTTGAAGGCTTCTCACTGCAAGTGGGTGGTGCTAGTCACACTTGCCATAGCACGGGCTGTGAGTCCCATGCCTCCTCGTTGCGCAATATGACACTGTCACGAGGAAAGGTACCAGTCTTGGTGTTGAGATAAGAAAGATGAGATGCGTGAGTTTTTAAAAAATAAACTTGTCTAATGTTTGAAATGTTTCATTGACCTCAGCTGCTGGAGGATGTGACAAAAGATGAATTCATATCTGTCATGGAGCTTTTGAGGAGTTTGAAAACAATGTCTACGGTGCAGTCTAGACAACAACTTGTAGAGATGGTTGTCGAGCAGGCTGGTCTGGATGAAGCTTTTGAGGTTAGTCAATTTTAAATACCACTGCTTTCATTTTACTGACTGCTAAACGACAGAAGTGAAAGTTGAATCTTTGTCGTCTCTTGTGTTCCCTATTTGCTCCGGGAACTCTAATTATTCTCACTGCTTCTGATTCATGCAACAGTACTGACTAAAAATGTACCCTACCTTAAACACCTTTAAAAAAATATTTATAGGAACAGCGATAGTTAGTTATTTTAGAAACAGACATCTTACATGTGTATTAACTGATTGATTTTTTTCCAGTCGTCAGATCCAGACTGCGTTGACAGACTTCTTCATTGTATCAGATCAGCAGCTCCAATGTTTTCTGTAAGTAAGATTTTGTGTGTGTGTGGCAATTGATTACATTTCAGTTATCTTCCATCCTCTTCAGACCACTTACCAGAGTATGCAATCATGCCTGGCAACAACTTGCAGTCTAGAATAGCATGTGCCTCATTATGTGTCATAACAAAAAGCTGTCGAGACTTATCATTTGCGTAGCAAACATGCCCAGCCTCTGTGTTCTATGGCTGTTACCTAATGGGTATGAGGAGTTACATGCTTTGCAAGTTGCATTTTTGTGTTCATTAGAGTTTAACTGTCGGCTCTGTGGCTAAGTCGATGTGAACACTTCGCTTCGTAATGCCGGGATGCCAGGTTCGATCCCAGCTGCGGGCAATGCGCCTTGCGTTGGTTTCGACAGTGGTATCAAGAAAGCCGACCGTCCAGAAAGCAGTGGCAAACTACTGGATGTAAATTGCCTAGAGAAACCACACAACAGCCAGGGGCTGTTAGGGTTGGTTCTGCAATGTCCACTCTGTAGAACTCCACTAGCTGGGGCAGGTGTTTAAGTACATTGTTTGCTTATTGCAATCATGTAATCACAACGGGAGAACTGTTCCTGATTCACCCACGAGGGTAATTTGAATAGTAAATTAAAACAAAGAACAAGCCTACACCTATACTCACATCTCCAAAGAGTTAATTTGTATATATAAACAAGATACCATTTTTGCATTAGTTAATGCACCCCCCCCCCCCCCCCCCCCCCCACACCACACACACATTCGATGAGGTACAAGGTGGAAGAGGAGAAGAAGAAGAATCCTGTGTCAAATATTTATGTTGTCACTACATATTTTCAGAAAAACGTGCATTCTAAGCCCTTTGTTACATACCTGTGTGATGAAGTACTACCTGTATTGGACAAACTGGCCAGCCCTGATGAAGACACAAACATACAGCTGGAGGTACTTAAGACGTTTGCAGAAATCTCAGAATTTGCTGGAGACATTGATAAAACTGAGAAACGAGTCGACACAGTTTTCACAGCACTCTTGGTATGTGGTTGTATAATGTTGAACAATTGTTAGGAATGTGTGTTTATCGAAAAAGATGTCATGTCAGGCATATGCATTTCTTAATGGCGGTTATAACCTCTTCTTTTTTTCTACAACCTCCTGACTTGGGTTTTTGTAAATGTGTGATATTATAGACAGACCATCTACCTGCACAAGATAGCAAATTACTATGTTTGGTCATGGGACACCCTAGTATAAACTCTTTTTATATTGTTGAACTGGGTGTCTGGTTTGGTCCTGTTGTATTGTAATCTAGTAAATTGCTCTTGAAATCACTTTTTTGTCACACCTCAGTGTAATAGGCCCAAATAAGGAATAATAAAGAAAATTCTATGTAGACTTCTTGTCTCTATGCTACTGCTTCTTCTTAATCTTCACCGGCTCTAAAAGGTCTGGTTGTTCTTTCACTTCTGGCCTTAGCCTTGTTCCGAAACTTGAGTTTTTGCATGTATGTCCATTTTACAGATCTGGCTTATTTGTAGACTGTTTGTTCTTTACCTTATTGCACTACAACTTTAAGGAGACACCTATAATTAGTTGACTTTTACAGCATGCTGGTGTGGCGAGTGGGCCCATCCCTTTTTTTCTTCCTCATAATAGGGTGCTGGAACCCTTGCAGAGATATTTTATACAGTGTTAACCGTTTTCTTTCTAGAACTTTTTATTTCTTCCATCTAACTGTTCTGTTCTGACATGTTTGTAAAACTGTGGTCAGAGTGTCTGAGCAGGAATCAGACTTGTGTACGGTTCTAATCACTTTAGGTTGTGAGCTCAGGGACTGGCCAGCTGGTGCTGCAGTATCAGTACAACAAATGATGCATGACCAATTCCTGCCTAGGTGATGTGATTATCTATGCAGATGGCTCTGTGTCCAGAAGCAGATGAAGTGCATGGAGCAAAAGTGAATGAACGTCACTTAGTGCAGCAAAGCCTGGTATATATCACAACACTTAGTTTGAAAACGGAGGTGGAGGCAGTCATTGCTGCCTTCTACTGTCTTCAGAATCAGGCTTACACACGTGTAGTAATTGAGCTTGGTGAGAACGGTAGAGACAGGTGTGCTTCATGCAGAGTGGCAAGCATCATTTCAGAGGTCCCGGGTAGTTAGCACCCTTTAGATATTTTCTCAGGGTCAAGCTGGTGTAAAGGAAAATGAGCAGGCAGATAGACTGGCTGGTACTGCACCACTTAGTGGTGAATTGATGTATGACAAACTAGATGTTGTGGGAGCTCTTTGGAAGTAGATCATTGCGGTCTGACGAGTTGCTAGGGGATCTGTTCGATGCTCAACACTCAGGGGAAGGACGAGACAGATGTATAATCAGACATTTACTGGCACCATCGGAGCTGGAACTGTTTGCTTGCTGCTGAAAGTGGAGGGGGGGGGGGGGGGGGGCACTTATGTCCTAACTTGTAAATGTATATTTAACTACATTTTGTCACAGGAGAATAAGCTCACCTGTAAATATTGTAATACACATATAAAGTTCTAAAATATGCACAAGAAGATGCCCTGTGAAGTAAAATGGGTTAGTATGATATTGTCACAATCACCCACTGAGGGTCAAATGGCCATATATAACTGAGGCTAGCCCAATAGGCAAGGAAGCAAGTCTTTTATCTTACGCATGGTATAAATTACGAAAATGATTCATGGGACGTTCCTGAAATCTAGGGGTGCCATGTGTTCCTCATTTTGACAGCTTCAAGCAGATCCACTAGCAGTGACAGCCACCACCAACGATTGTAAAATACAAAAACATCAATGATAAGATATTCACTAAGCGTCACGCTTCCTCCTGCAGTACTTCTCCCTCATGCTTTCAGCGCATGATACCTGCCGTTCGCAAAAAAACAGCGTTGGAAAAATACCTTCGACATGATGTTGTCACACGGTGCAGAAAGCACGCCATAACGTGCCCCCCACCACACCATAGGGCAGCCCATGAGAACTGGCACAAAATCTCACATGTAAATGAGCTGGGGTTGACTCTTGTGATTAGTACCCGTATTGTTATTTAGCAGTTTAATTTATCATGCTAATTTTAATTTCTTTATTTGTTTAACCCAGAATTACATGCCCTTGCCGCCATCCGATGAAAAGGAAGATTTAACAGTAGAGGAACCTAAACTAAACTTCTCTCAGGTAGAGTGTCTCATGTTTGCTTTTCATCAACTGGCAAGGAAGTGTCCAGGATTTTTGACAGATGATGCAAATGCTGAAAGGTTAAAGGACTTCAGAACCAGGTTCGTCTTGAAAGCATTACTTTGTGTGATTTTATAAGAAAAACTGCAAGCACACCTTTACCGGAAACTTTTTTCTCATTTATGTCTTTAAGTGTGTGGAATTTTTAGAATTTAGAAACACAAGTTGTTATGCCAATGCATGATAGCAGTTTTTCAAAATGCAGAAATATGATTGTGTTGATAGATTTCAGAGTAGATAAATTAGAAGCATATTAGCCTTACTTTATAAGTACGACAGGTAACACTTTTCAAAGTTTAATAAACATCTAAACTGGGGGATAGATTGTTCAGTTGACTTATTGTTAGGTAATGATTGTTGTTATTGATTCAGCGGTGCATGAGCTTTTACCCTTTGGCCCAGTGCTGGGGTGTCTGTGGATAACCTCCCTCCCCGGACAGCAGCCAGATATACCCTGTACCAGTTCTAAAGGAAGTATGAGTTGTGTTTCTGCCTTCCCCTTTGACACATAGCTAAGGTGTGGCTTACAGTGTGCTCATTCCCCGCCACCAGATTGCCTGTAGGTTTTGCTGAGCTCTTCATGGCTCTAAGCATGGTCTGAGCATAAGTAGTTGGGGCTACTGGATGGTCACGTCCTGAGTCCCTGTGCCTACACAATAGTTTCCCTTTATCAGAAGGTTAGCATACTTGTTTCCACTCCTAAGACTGTTCAGCACCCCTCTGGCTCCTTCCCTCCCACAGGGGGCAGCACGGTGTGGTGCACCAGGTTTTTTTTTATCGAGGTTTGCTCTTTAGATACATTGTGTTTTGCCTGGGGATTCGCACTCCCAGTTACAGGACTACCTCGGGGAGGGTGTGGCTCTCCGCCACGCGAATGGTCTTGGGGTAAGCGAGGTTATGCTAGGTCAAGAGACTGACACCACAATGGACGCTTCTTTCGTGAATAGATATTCACTAGACCTAGGGTGAAAGGGGGGGGGCACTACCCACAACACCAACACTTCTTACCCCCTGCCCTTTTGAGGCTCAGTCCCTTAGGTAATTATAGATTGTTTAGTTGACCTATTGTTAGATAATCAAGTGGATGGCTTAGAATGTTTGGCTGCTGAAAATCAAATGGCAGGACGTTATTCTGAACACTTGATTCTGAATAAGGGAAACCAGGATTAGAGTTAACTTCTTTTTTCCATCCATGCCTCCTGGACCTCTCCTGTGTTGTGGGGAGGGAGTATGTTTTCCTTATTGTGAACAGTTGCCTTTTTTCTCACCTTCTTGCTGCTCGTTTGCATGATTATTTTCACGTACTGCTACCTGTGCGACGGTTCGAGAGTATGAAAACAACAATATTTTTCTATTCCTACACTTCTTTTAACTGCTTTCTGGTGCTGTTCACATTTCCATGCCCAGGATTAAAGTAACTTTCCTTGCCATTTATGCATCCTTAGGTCGCTGGACCTCTCCTGTGTTGCGGGAGTCATGTTTTTCTTAGTGTGAACAGTGTAACCATTGCCTTTTCTTGTCCGCTCGCTTGCGTGCTTATTTTAAATGCTACCTGCGCAACCGTTTGGAAGTATATTTTTTATATTCTTATGCTTCTTGTAACTGCTTTCTTTATCTCTGGGAGGGGGGAAGGACCGCAAACGAATGTAGAAATACAAAAACATTTAGTTTCAATAGCCAAGAGTCGTTGCGCCTGCGGCGCTTTTCCTTATGCTTCTTACTTGTACACTAGAAATAGACCCACAACAACACAATCTCCCACAAACATTACATATGCCATGCGAATGCCAAACCAAGCCATATCATAACACCCCCACAACATAGGAGAGGTCCAGCGACCTAAGGATGCATGAATGGCAACTGAAGTTACTCTTATCCTGGGCCTGGAAACGTGAACAGGACCTGGTCACCTAGCCTGCATACCAGACCACCAACTTTCAGAGAATATTTTGTGGCGAATTCTAGCTAGAGAAATTATCCGCCCAGTGGATGGAAAAACTTCAAAGTGGCAGTTATTAAAGTTTAAAAGTGAATTTTTTTCATGTCTTGCAAAGCAAATTCAAAATATTGTGGGTGGGTGTTAAGGGCATTCTTAAAACAGCTCTTAAATCTGTTGGTATTAAGGTGGAAACATGGTTGTGCTGGCAGAGGAAAAACCTTGGCAAAAAATTCCACTTCTTTTATAACTTTTGCACTGCTCACGAACCTTTATGGCTCAAATTCGTAATTGATTATTCCTACTTTTGAATGCTAAGTGGTCTTTATCACTTTGTTTTTTTTTTTAGTTCAGTCAGTTAATCAGCATGTGATTTAAAGAACATCACTCTCTTCACGTCACGCCTGAAAGTCTCTCTTTCTCCAGCCCTGTGTGCTTTCATAGCCAATGCATCTTCAGTGTCCTGTATCCACTTATTCAGAGGCCAGACTGCCTCATTTTCCGGAAATTGCACCCTTCATCACCGTTCTCTCCAGACCACCATAGCCCTTGAAATTTCCAAAACATCTCAGCTTTTAGGAGAGGATGCTGTTTATGAGCCAGTTTTCCTTGATGTTCAAGTCATGTTGGTCAATTTTTTGAAAGATTATCCTTATTGCACATTGAACCATTCAGCCCATAAGTGCTCGGGTCCCCTCGCCAGTAAATCCTGCAGCCTGTAACAGCTGATGACACAAATTCTTTGCTTTCCTGCCTGTGTGCTCTTGTATGGCCACACTCTGTTCCGAGTCTGGTTAACTTGCATTCAGTATATCAGCCTGGTGCATAGCTCATCCTCCCTTCACTGCAACCTTACCTGCATGCCTATCAGCTTGCTCATTTCTTTGCACGCCTGAGTGCCCCTGCACAAAAATGAAACGGATCTTTGTTAGGCCAGACCGTCTCAGAGACGCCATGTTTTTGCAGTAAGTATGTGTATGGCTCATATAGTGTAAGGCCATTAAGAGAGGCAAAGAATAGTAACATTAGCTGTATATTTCATGAGAGATGACCAAGGAAAGTTGCCTGAGACTGATGATGTCACCCTACATAAACTTTTCAAATAAATCAAACCAGTATTTTAAATCAAACCATTTTTCTGTAAATTACAGAATTATGTTTGTTCTAGAAGATTGTTTAAATTGTTCTGTGGTCGTATTCTATTGCCGTATACCAGAAGTTCTGCGGCTTAGAGGTTATTGAATGTGTTTCACGATATAATGTTGCTCAGTGTATCAGGGTTTAACCATGTCCTAAAATGCCTCACCATGTAATATTCCTAATGTTTCACTGGACATGGTAAACATTTGAGTCTGCTTTTCACATACCAGAGTACAATATTTAATTTACAAATATACAGTGATATTGTTATTTCAGATAGCAGTTATTGCAGTGTTGCATTTAAGAAAGAGGAAATGGACAAAATGAAATGGTGCTAACTATGTTTTTTTTTAAACTGTTAGATTACAGTACATCGCCAGAGGGAGTCAGATCTGCATTAAACGACTGAAGGAAGCTTTACAAGGGAAGACTGGAGACGCACTAAGGACAGAAGAGGTAAATTTTATTCCTGAAATTTTCACATGTAGAAACTAGCTTTTATGACTCTTACGTTTAGTTGTATTCAATTACATCAGTAATTCCTTGTGGGATTTTTAGCAATTAAGGTTAACCCTGTCCTTTCTAGGCAAACCTTACCAGCCAGTACTATTATTCTACTATATAGTCTTATTTCAGTTACATTTCTGTCTTTGGTTATATGTATGCATTTAATTATATTCATCATTGACTGAATGTCACTCTCATTATGGCACATCATAAAGGTTCTCTGCCCAATATTAATCAAAGCAAGCTAAAGATGGGGGGGGGGGGGGGGGTGTTTATTGAATGCTATTTAGCTGTAATATACATAATGTCATTGGTTATGCCCTTGTAAAATTTATATTCTCATTGGGCTTTTTAAACATTATTTTTTATTGGTTTTGAAAACTTTATTACTTTTGAAATTGAACTTTATTTTACTTATTAAACTTTTAAGCTAACCTTGCGATCACATGCGATTATTTTCCCCTGTACTCTGTATTTCAGTTATAGGTATGCTTTTAATTTATTTGTTGGCCAATGCTTGGCTGTCCAGTTCCATTCAGATTTTAACACATAACCTTCAAATCCATAGGCGAGAGTCTAGCCACTACTATGATGGTAGAATACATTCTGTTAGTACTTGATCATACTTTTCATTTGCTTTTATTGTTATTATTTAATGAAATCTGCCAAAAATCACGAATCTTTCAGCAGCTTTATTTAAATCAGACTTGAATGTTGAATTAAGAATCAACATCATAGCACTCGAGACACTTCCATAAGAGCTCTATACTCATCTTCAGTAGCAGGTGAAGAGTTCAATTCCGATGATACCAGTAACTGTCTTTGACTGTACGTCCGTCTTGCCTAACCCTTGAGTGTTAAGCGTAATCAGACCGCAATGATCTGTTTGTGCCTCTGCACTTTTCACGCGCTCCTAGAATTTTAAATCGATATACATGTCAATGGAGTTCTTGGATTTTGTAGAGCTTAAGTATATTCAGACTTGTAAATGTTACACAGAATATCTTGGACAAAGAAGAGGAGAAATACTGACATCTTGAAAGATCTGAACATCAAGGAGGTTGGCTAATAAACAGCATCCTGTCTCGGAAGCTGAAAAGTTTTGGTCATATCATGGGAAAAATTTATTGCAGAAGGCATAGTACCAGGAAGGAGGGGCAGGGGCCGACCAACACAAAGATGGGCACAGGATATAAGTGACTCCTTGAGCATGAAAGTTCATGAGGTGGGAGAGCTGGTGAGAGACCGAGTTTTTTTTTTTTTAGGTAGACTGATGAGAACGGCGTTCTGCAAAGGACTTGCTTCATCATGATGATGAAATGTTACACTTTCTGTGGTTTTTTTTAACCGATAATGAGTGTCAGATTAAAACAAAGCTATGTCTGCCGGAGTAATAAGAAATCTACTTAAAATGTATAAATTCAAAGTCTAGGACAGAAACCAATTATGCAATTCAGTAACAAGCAACAGGTGTAATCTGTCTTATCTGACAAGAAATGCTGTGATCCCCGCTGCTACAGAAAGCAATGCTGAAAAATTTTTAATGAACGCAGACCAAGGGGAAGACCGTGCGGAAGATGGAATGACCACATCTGGAACAGCACATCAGCACACAGAAGCCATACATCTGCCCCCAACTCTTCCATGAGGTAACTGAAGGAAGAGAAGAAAAAGAAATTGTTCTCAAGCAGAATTATTTAATTTCTGTTGCATCTTTCTTCCTAAATGGAAAATGAACTGGTCTTTAATTGCTGTTTTTTGGGCTAAATGTTTTATCCATTCTTCAATGATTATTCACCATCATGAGGTGCAGAAGAAGTGTTTGATAGGACATTCATTGGGAAAATCTGATAATATAGCTAAAATATTCTTTCACTGGAATGCACAGGGCAGATAAGATAGAAAGTGATATACACAGAGAAAAAAAAAAAAGAGAAAATTAGACACTCACATATGGTAATAACATAGAGTGGGTAGCAAAAGACAAGCAGTTACATGTAACTCCTCTGCGACTCTTCACAGCATAAGCTGTAGGATATAAGAAGAAGAAGGGAGAAGTTGCAGGAGATGGCAAAAGGTAGGGATACTTGCTGTGTTGGTTGAGGGGTTATACTTTATTGGAGGAAAACAAATAAGTTACCTCAGAACTGGAGGATATCTTGCACTGTTGAGCTGTTGTTTGCTTACTTATGTATGCCTTAATTTTGTTTTAACAATTACAACACAGAACAAGAAAAGGATTGTAGCTCTGAAGCTGTTCACCAACATCACATTGCTTGTGAAGGACCTCATGCACAATCCACCAGCCTTCAAGGTAGCCATTACTCTATCCTGGAGACCAACTAAGGTAAGAGTAGTTTCTTCACCTCATTGTTGAAATAGAAAAGTAAAATAGTGCACTGCAGAGAGCCCTGTGAGTTGGACACAGTGGAAAGCAGCTTTGGAGGTTCATCACACGGGTGATGGATAGATGGAATATCTGAGGTGGTAAATAGCAGCATCATATACAACATATACCAAGGTACTCTGTAAAACTTGATGTTGAAAGACAGGGTCAAAGAAGAAGTAAACTTCTGATCTTATAAGTATAGAACTCTCCTCCTCACCGTAATGAATATTAATTATATAATGCTATTCCTAAATTTGTGTAGGTTAGTCAGCTAGCACTCAGTTGTATGGGTGATGTGATCATTACTACACCTGCCACATTTACTTCCATGTTAATTTCCTGGTATTCATCTCTGTCTCTGGTATTCTCACCCCCCCCCCCCCCCCCCTCCCATCCGCATTTTCTCTCTCTTCCATGAGAGTGTTTGGCCTTTTCCAGTTGGTTGCTGCAAATGTTTGTAGGTTTGCTTGTTTATTATCTCACTGCCATCTTCTTGTTCTGCCTTATGGTCTCCTTCTATTTAACTTTTTTTTTTTGTATGCAGTATTTGTATCTCTCTTATCTGCCACTCTCTGCTAATGCTTTAACTATTGCCGTTAGCCTTCATGATGTTAGTAATTAGTCGTGATTTGAATGAATTATAAATTTTATTGTTGCTTCTCAGTCTTCATTCTCCACTGTTTGCATCTTTCATGGGTATATAAAGATTTGTTGCAAGATACACACAAGAAAATATTTTAACCAAAATCTTTCCAGGAAAGCTACCTTGGTGAACAAGTGCTCGTTGAAATCAGATGTGTTGACCTGAAGGCACAAATATCGCAGCTAAGCTCTGAAGACAAAAATCTTCAACAAAGAACAGAAAAGGAATACTGGACCACAAAAATTATATTCTGCAAATTAGATAGATCTAGAGGACAGAAAAGTGTGATTTCTAGAAATGTGGAAAGTATTCTTGTTGCTTTGTTCGCTAATTTGATCAGAGTGTTTGCTTGCTTGGTGTATCTTCCTTTGCCATGATTAGGGTAAGATTCTGCTCTGTGACGGCTACATTTTGACTGCAAAATTTTTTTAAACAGTTTTTAGTGATCATGAAAATGTTTAATTGCAAATTTTTGTTTCAAACCAGGAAATCAAGTCAGCAGAAGGCAGTGAAAATACAAAAGCCTCACCTGTTACTGGGTATGTATACATTCTGGTTTGTGGAGATTGTCATCTGCTTCACTTATCCTGTGCCCTGGGTACATATATAATATACATGCCCCCCCCCCCCCAAAAAAAAAAAACTCATAGTTATCTGGTTGCACGTTTTTAATAGTTGATGGGAAAGCCTGTATGCCTAAAAACTATTGATGACCCAGGTGCAAAAGACCTGTTAATTGATTGGTTCTTCTTCTTCTTCTTCTGCGTTCGATATCAGTCATGCTAAACATTGAGTCCCGTCTGGGTCACAAATAGGATTGTGCGTTTAAGGTCGCCACTGGTCCCCCAAAGCTTCTCTTGCAATGTGGCTCCTTTGGACCAGATCCACAGTCTTTGCTGGGAGAGGTTAGGGCAGTACTGTAGTATGTGCTCTGGGGTTTGTCTTTCTACTCCACAATCACAGGCAGCAGATTCTTTTATGCCTATCCTGTACAAGTGTGCTCGAAGACCACAGTGTCCAGTCCGAAGTCTAAAAATTGATGTTTGTTCTTTCCTGTTGAGTTTGTTTATGCTGTCTCTCTCTGGTCTGTAATCACCATTCTGCCTTCTCCACTCCCGCTTGAAAGACTGCTTTAGCGCTGTTTTAGTTTCCTTGTAGCTGTGTGGTGGATGAGGTTGTGGAAGATTACTCCCAGCTTTTGCCAACTCATCTGCTCTCTGATTTCCTTGAATGCCACAGTGGGCTGGTATCCACTGCAAGACCAGTTCTGCTTCCTTGGAGAGTAAGCCAATGTTGGTCCTTAGATCAGCAATTAGTTTGCCTTGTTTTTTGCTGGATAGTGCTTGGAGAACAGACAAGGAGTTACTAAGTATAACAATTTGGTGCCCTCTGTGTTCTTGAGTGATGAGATGTTGGACTGCAGAGAGGAGGGCAGTTGCCTCAGCTCTGAAGTTAGTGCAGATGTCACCTGCTGGTAGAGAGAGAGTTTCTGCTCTACTGCAAGGGGGTTTAATGTAAATTCCACAACCCCCCTTTCTGACTGCATCTGTAGCAGTATATACTTGTTTTAGGATTCTAGAGTTAGTGCCCCATGTGGTACCCGCAAATTTTTTCATAACTGCAAGCTTCTTGAATGCTTTTCCCTGTACTGCTTCTACATGTGACTTCCAAGTTAGTCGCGAATCAAGTGTAATGCCCAGAAAGGTAGGAGTGTCAGTCTGTGGAATGAGCTGGTTTTTAATCCAAATTTCGATCTTTTTCTTTTTTTTTTTTGAGGGAGAGAGAGAAAAGTGATGCTGTGCTTTTGGATTTATTTAGCTTTAGAGCCCACTTTTCGGTCCAGGCTTCTACATTTTCCACAGTTTTTTGTAACAGATATGAGGCTGTGGTAGTGTATTCGGAGGCTGTCCAAACTGCAAAGTCATCGGCATGTAGGGTATTAGAAACGTGCTGGTGGCAGGTTGCTGTGATATCATTAATGTAAACCAGGAACAGAGTTGGTGATATAGCACTGCCCTGGGGAACTCCTTAGTTTTGCCAGTTTGCTGATGTGTCCATCAATTCTGAATCTGGCTCTGCGTTGGAAAAGAAAGTCTTTGATCCACTTGTACATGTTGATTGATTGGTTGAACCCTAAGGTGTTCTTGAATATAATTTGATCAGTTTCACTCATTTAATTACAAAGACCGTGAATGTAAAAATTCTGGCTCTTTCAGTAGATGCGCATTTCTTTCTTTTTTTTTTACCCCTTTTTATTTGTGTTAACAAAACACCATTGGATTACAGTGCTTTGATTTTGTTAAACAGTATAAATCACTGCTACTAGTTGTATCATTAGACGTAACAAAGATGCTTTATGGCACATGGCTACAACTTTTTCAATCCTCATGGGTAATTACAGTGAGCTACATGCAGTGCAAAAGGATTGGATGACTTGTGAGTTGGTTGAGTGCCTATGCCCCATTGGAATGACAGGCAAAGGAGAAGAGGAATTGGTAAATAGTTGTACGACATGGATCTGATATGGACTGTAGCACATGCTAATTTCTCTCAGTTGGCATGATTCCATTGGAACCAATGTTAACTAAATTTAGTTTATCAAGAATCATGGTTTAGAAATATAAATACAACTGGTATTTGTTTTCACTCGCCATTATATAGAACCACCTTTAATATGTGGCTGTGAATTCTAGGTAATGTTTTTTTTTTTTAATTAAGCTTCAGAGCGTTAGTTTCATAGAATTCCTTAAAATTCTTAAGCATCCAAAATGAATATTATAGGGTTTTTGAAAGAGACTAATATATAAAGACACAGCGGTCATATGAGAAGAGTACTGCTAGATGGACAGTTGGAAAGACATTTTTTTGGCGAATGCATTTTTTTTATTACGTGGTACCCAGGCTCTGTTCTAGTTGCAATTTAGCGGCAGGCCTCCTTACGCTGATTTCAACAGTGGTGTCAAGAGCCAGCCCTTTAGGGGCAGTCTTAAACTACTGAAAGTGCTTGCCTATTAAAACCAAACAGCTAACAACAGCTGGGGTTGGTTCAGCAACGTCCTGTTAAGAGAATGCATCTCACTTTACATAGGAAGACAAGAGAAGATTCTGGTCGGCTTTGTATCAGTGTTAAAAGGTGTCGGCATACGCTGCTGGAGTTTGCAGGATGTGGAGAAACATGATCCCATGTGAAACAGACACCATCTAGGTACCTCTATGACTAGCGAATCTGGCTCAAACAGTACCAGCATATGAACAACTGAAACAATCTAGAACAGCGACAATGTAGAGTTGAAATTAGCTACGGCTTGAAACTTGTAGGTATAGCAATGATCGCGACAATCTACCAATTGAGCAGGCCTTATGTGAACTCAGGCTTTCAGGGACTGTAGTCTACACCCTTAACTCCCCAATTTAAGCTTGGAAAGTCATATTGGCGGCAGCAGTTTTAAAAGTCAGCGATGCTATTGCAAACCGATTTGCTTAACCTTGAGACTTGGCATCTAAAATGGTAGGTAAAATATCCACTTTCTCTTGTTCCCACGCTCGCTTTCTTTCCAGTGATCTAAATTACAGTATCCAGTCAATTACTTTGCAGCCAATTTACAGATAATAGACAAATATAATGATCCGTATTTGGCTCGCAGACTCGTCAAACATAATCAGTTATCTGTTCTGCATAAACAAATTCTTTTCGACAATAAAGGTTAAACATATTCATACTCCAGCAGAAACGTTGAGCCAACACTTCCTGCAGCAGTTAAAGATTCTTGCATAAAAACATGTCAGAGGGGTTTAAGCCTCTTGTAAAGGCACGTCAGATGACTATGCACCCTTGCACATAGCAGCCATAATTATGTGGCATCCATCCAATGTGCAGTCTTCCCTCCCAGTATCCAAATAAGACGAACATGTCCATTCAGTCAAGCGACTTCTCTGGCTTGTAGCTGTGGTAAGATAATCAAACAAATAGTTGTGTTACCTCAGATTTGCTTTTTCCTGAATCTTTTTTAAAATATTTTGTTGTTGTTGTATTAACCTATGTCGGTAGTATAATAGCTCAAAAGGTCAAATAAATCTGTATTTATAGTTATAATTAATAGTTATAGAAGGTGCAGAGTTATAACAGCTTGATGCTTGCCTTGAGATCTGAAGACCCAGGGTTCAGGTCTACAAGAAGGCAGATTTGTTCTTCATAATTGACCTTTGCTCTCAGGAAAGTCTTGGAAAGTATTGTATGAGAAAGAGAGAATACATGTTTACAGTTTAGTAAATATTCATTATTTTTCCTGTTTTCAGCCAAAAACGAAATATTACACCCATTACTTACGAAGGGTCTAATGGGAAAAAGACAAGCCCGAAGCAAGCGCGGACATTGTATCAGCCACCAAGTGGCAAGTTTAGTGACAAAGCTGGTAAGCATAGGATGTTGAACTGTTATCATCTTATTCTTCTTCACGTTCACCAGCTGTAAACTACGGCGAAAAGTTCTGGTTGTTTGTCTACCTCTGGACTTTACTCTTGTTCCAGAACCTGAGTGTTGCATGCACATCCGTTTAACAGATCTGACTTAATTGTATGTAGATTGCTGGTTCCTAGCCTCCCTGGCAGACTTCAAAGGGGGCCCCCAATTAGTCGACTCTTAAGACATGCTTGTTGGGGGCAGTGGGTCTATTAATGCAATCGTCTTTTGCACATTGGGCCTCCTCATTTGTGCTCAGTCCTCTAATGCAGCAGCCACTTCAATGCCTCTTCCCGCTTGCATTGGTGCATCACTTGCCAGCTGGTCAGCTCTTTCATTACCATTGACTCATGGTGCCCAGGTGTGTAAATCCAGATGAGCGATTTTCTGAAGCATGTTCATAAAGTCTGAAACGATTATCGCATGTGTAGCCGCTTGTTCTGCTACCCATGCAAGTGCTTTGGAAGCAGCAGTTATCTCTGTGTTCAATCTTGATAGGGTTTTCTGGTCAGCGCCGCTATCTTCTTTTATTGTTTTCCCCATTCTTTGTGGTGGGTATGCCCATGCTAATCTTGACCCGCACTTCACTGATCCATATGTATAAATGACGACGTCTTCTAGGCGTGAATGCTGATCAGTCACTGTCCTTATCTCAGCGGTGGGGAATGTTTGACTCCTGCAGTACCTCCCCAGAGTTATGACAACTTTAGACAGGTCATGCATGTCTACTGGTGGATTTGATTTTCTGCCTCAGCCATCCAGCAGGAGCCTCTTTTGAGACGTATCCCTTTTATATCATTGATAGCGTTGTGCAATAGCTGGTTGATGTCTGCTGTCCTCAGTTTATGTCTGGTGGCCATTGACTATAAACCCAGGACATACCACATGGCGTGGCACAAGTTGTCTTTTGTATAGCCGAGTATGAGTCTTATGGCCTCATTTTGTACCCAGTCCAGTCTTTCCAGCTGGGTTCTGCAGACAGTGAGGAGGCTCAGACCATAGTCTGTAACACTTACTACAAGTCCCTGATAAAGAAGGAAAAGTAGGTGTTGTTCAGGGTATGCCATTGCCTTCAGATCTTTCCTGACTCTTAACTATGACATTGTCTGCGTGATTTTTGTATGGCAATCTGAATCTGCAACTATGATTAGACTGCATGACAGCAATTTATAAAGTGTGAGGCCAGAACAAGAGCATTATCAGGAAGCTAAATAACAATAATATACCAACACAGACCTGTGTCGTCGGCCACTAAATGTCCTGTGAGATTTGCTAAGAAGAGGATCAGAACACTTATGGACTGAATAGTCTCATGTGCACTAGGGGTATGATTGTCTACTAACTAATCACCATTATCATGTGTTGTTTCGACAAATGTTGTGGTTATGATTTGCCACCTCACACTTTGACCAGTCCCAGGCCAGGTTTGCGTTTTTTTCCTGCTAGTGCCATACTTCTGATCTGTTGGTATTTATCTTGTTGTCTTGGGGGGTTCCTAAATGGGGAACCAAATGATAAATATTCTGATTTAAAATATTGAATCTTGGTTCCTTTACTCTGTGGCGAGGCTGTTTTTCTTCTGCTTTTCTATCCCTCAACCAACTCACGCCAAGTCGTTCTATCCTTCGCCATTACATGGAGCTCTCCCCATGTCCTCCCAATCTTTCTAACCTCATTCTCCAGCTCTCTTTTCCATGTGTTTTTTGGCCTTTCTTTATTCCTATGCCCCTGTGGGTTCCAATGCAAAGACATTCTAGTTATGCTGTTCTCCTGTTTTCTCAGTGTGTGCCCTATCCAACGCCAGCGTCTTTTCCTCACCTCCTGATCCACTGGAGCCTGTTTAGTTCTCTCCGAAAGTTCTACATTAGTTATTCTATCATACCATTTTATTCCCTCTATTCTGCGCAGGCACCAGTTAATGAATGTCTGTAATTTATTAGTAATTGCCTTGGTTGTTCTCCATGTTTCCGCCCCATACAATAGTACTGATTTGACATTAGAATTAAAATTTTTTAGTTTAGTATTTCTTTTAATTTCTTTTGACCTCCACAAATTCCATAGTGCTATGAAAGCCCCTCTTGCCTTTTGTATTCTTATTTTAATATCTCTATCAGTTCCTCCATCTTTATCTACATTACTGCCTAAATAGGTGTACTACTCCACGTCTTGGAGTGGGGTGCCATTAAGAGAAACCACATTACTATTAGCCTGATTTATTCTCATTATCTTTGTCTTTCCTTTATGGATTTTCAGACCAAGCTGCTGTGATCTCGCATTAAGAGGCTGTTTAGCTAAATTTACTTGCCAAAATTTCAAAAATGGGGATTGCTCGAGCCAGAGCTCCAGCATAGTAAGATCAATACAGTGCGATAAGTAATGAATTGCAGCTACTTGTTATACCTTTGCGAGCTGCCAGTTGAACAGTTCTGCCCTACAGTATCTTCTTATTATATTCTTGCTATGTGTGTTTACTGTTGTATTATTTTTAATTATTAAACAAAACAATTATACTACCTTCACAAGTGATTCAAGTTGCATAACACATTTAACTTAACACTGAGTAATCAGTATAGTTTGTAATAGTTTGTTCTATTCTTCTGTTTCCCAGGAGCTTACAGTACTAACACCCTTAGCAACAACAGAGGCGGGCGAGGTGGCCAAAGGCGTGGTGGCTTCAGAGGTCGTGGCAGAAGGGGACGGAGAGGTAGTGCCAGCGCTGACAGTGGTTTCTACCAAAACAAGATTTAAATGTGCAAATTCTGTTTGTTCAAATGTTTTGAGTTGTTCTATTGATTTATTTGTACAATTGATCAGACTGTATCATAGATGCCTAATCTGCTGACCATGTTAGAAAACATTGAAATGTGCTAGAAGTTATGTTATCTTTTCAAGTTTTCTTGTATTCTGGACCATTTGTATGATCTTCACAAACCCTTTTTTAAATGACAAACTGGCATGTGTGTTTTTTCTAACTGATAAAATCATTATGAATAATGGCCTATTGAAAAAGTAGTTTAACAGGCTTGAATGGTTTTAATATGACCCAGAACATCTCTGATAAAGATATAAATTGTGGCTTTTGTGCAATTTAGTACCATATGAGGACAAAGACACAGTTTGTTCTTTGCACAGATGCCAGTGTGTACTGTCATTGAAATGATGGCTTCAAATTATAATGCAGAGTAATACCAGATGTTAACTAATGGAAGTTTAGCACTGTCAACTGTACAGCTGTGATGGCACCATCTTCATGACCACTGTAACGAGGCTCTCCTGATCAGTCATGGCTTCACTTGTACTACCCTGACAGCGTAATTACAGACTGTTCTTCATGTTTCTCTGAATATCTAGCATCATTCAGCACCAGTTCTTGGAATCGTCTGCTAGCTTCACTGAAGCCAAAAGGTAAGCTGTATGACTGCGTTTTGTTAAAAGTGTTTGTGTTGCAGGTCATGCTCATTCTTGTTCTTGCCAGGAGTCAGAGATGCTATTCTGAACAAATTGTTTTTGAAAATGGTTTTCAGTTTTAGGATCGCGGGAACACTAAAATAATTTTAAACTTTAAGAATTACAGGTCCAGAAAGTTTCGTTTCAGCTACTACCTAGAACAGGGCTTTTTAACTGGCAGCCTAGCAAAATACCTGCAGATCATTATCATTTGTATTGTATTAATGCTCTTTGCTTGCTGAGGCTCGGCTTCTGGCATATGCCGATCTGCATTTTCAACAGTTTGACTAAAATTTGTTGAACAGCCCTGTCCTGGAATATCTCAGCAGCAGACTTGAGTTATTTTCATTTTCAGAAGCTGGAAGCAAAAAAGTAAAGTTTTGTTTTTTTCCTGGCATTTCAGCAGTGTTGTTTTATTTCCATCTATGCTACTTTAATAATTACAAGCAAGTATTTTGTAAAAATGATTTACCAGATTGCCTGAAGTTGTGTTCTTTTTTTTTTATAATTTCCTGGCAAAGTTTGTTTTTCAGAATTTGCAGGCAAGCAAGTTGTTATTTTTCAGCATTTGCAGGCAGGCAAGATGAGTTCCTCTCGGACATCACGTTCAATGTTTTCTTCTTATTTCCATTAATTTAGTGTAATGATTACTGCATGCATTCTACAGTAATGATATAGCAGATTATCAGAGGTTGCAGGACACTCAAGTTAGCTTTTCTTATTTGTATCACACACAACATACACTAGTGACAGTTTCAAAAACATAGTAACAAGACATAGTAGTTTTCTTGTAGACATAGTAAAAAGTCATATTAGTTGTTGTACTTGTGGCCACTGCCCCAGAAACGTAAAAGAAAGAAAATCGGCTTTCTCGGGGCAATGGGGTTAATATTCACCTAAATGTTATATTGTGATTTTTCACTCAAGCACAGTTAGAGCTTTTACCCTTGATAATAACGAAAGAATTAGAAGTATTCGAGGGGAGAAATGTGGGTAAGTAAGGTTTAATCAGTAATATTTTAATAGCTATTTTGACTCTTTCATAAAACTGTTCTGCTGCTTTTAATGTAGATTTGGGGGTGGGGGGGGGGGGGGGGGGGGGGGAGATGTTGACTACACTTGTTTCACCTACAGATTTCCTGGGGATGTTAATTATACTCTGGTTTCGTCTACAGATTTCAGGGGAAATGTTAACTTTACTCTGGTTTCATCTACAGATTTCAAGAGAAATGTTAACTATATGGTGTAAATTAATGTTAACAACAGATGGTTGGGCATGGTAATGCCTACTAATTTTATCTATAGATTTCCTGAGCATGTTAACTATACTAATTAATCTCCATCTACAGATTTCCTGAGACTGTCAAGACTACAGATTTAAATGTATAGATTTCCTTTGTATTTTCAGATCAACTGTAATGAAAGAAAATAATCATTTTGTTCGTTTTTCCTCTGACACATTGTTTTGTCACGTTTGCTTGTTTCTGAAAAAAATGGGCCGCACACAATAATTACTTGACCGAGCCTGTAGTGCCCGTTCTCTTCCTAATTCTGTCATTGTCATCACCATGCAGACCCCTTTGGGAGCATGGGGTAAAAAATGACTGCATTCGTTCTTAAATTTGGAATAAAAAGCCTTGTTTATTACATGATCTGGTTTTGTTCTTTGTTGCATGTAGAGTATGTTTCTCCACATTGTAAATTTTATAGTATTGGTTTTTGACATCATAAATGTTTGTTTTATGTTATGAACTAACCAAAGCAGCAGTAACCTAGGTTCTTAGGAACCATGGGAGTGTCCTCCCCTTCCATGTTTAGTTCTCCTGTCATGGTTTTGTTTATTCATGCCCTGTGATGTGGCAGATAGATACTCTAGGTCAGAGGATTAAGATCTGCATAGTCACAATTTGTTTTTCAAAAATGGCCTTACCTCCCTGGTTGGTGGTATCTAAAGAGGGTACTGCATTAGCATAGAGGGTCATACCCCTGCCCCATATTTTCTTTGTGCTGGAGCCAGAAAGGCGACCTAAACAAGAATACAGGACACCAACAGGTTCAAATGTCTAGATAAAAATAGGAGATACTGATGAATTAACTAGAACTGATAAAATATTTGCTGCAAACTTGCCAAACAGATCATAAAATTATTCTGGTCTACATCATAAGGAAAATCTTTCTGCTGTTGTCAACAGCCTTCAGTTAGTAAGTAAAGATCCCTTTGGGCATATGGGAAGAGCACCCATATTTTTACAGACCAATCGGCACTAGGTGGGTAATGTGGTCAGCATTACGCCGGCCGTCTTTACTTTCCCAGGAAATACATCCTAGTACCCATTTTAGGCTGGGTCGACCTGCCACGCCCCATACCATGATAAATATCCATGCAGCCTGCAGTGGGTTTTGATCGCGCTACGTTGCAATTACTAATTACGAGTCAGACTCGCAATGCCTAAGCCACGGACATGCCTTCAGTTAGGGAAGATATACTATTAAGAAGGTATACACTAAAAAGAACAAACCATATCTAATTGCACATAAGAAGAAGCAGAAAAAAATTACAAGTCTGTCAATCATTTTATTTGAACAAAATCCACATTTATGAAAGTCGAGTTAAACGCTTTACAAGAGCCAGTAGTGGCTTTCTGAAGCTTGAGTTGTGAGTTTCAGAAAGTGCACACACACAAGTGAACTGTTCACTGGACATCTGCAACAAATCAATCAGATATGTCTGTGCTGTATGAATGCTGTGGTGATTTCAGTATTACAAAAAACTGCACATATGGATTTTCTAAATGTGAGTTACATAGCAAATAACAATGAAGTGGGGCACTTTGTAAAAAGATGTCACAGTAAATTAACCCAGGTTACAATAGTTATATTACTGACTATAATTATTTTTTAAAAAAAAGTAATAGATTGACAAGAACACATTCATCAGTGACAGAATTAACGCTGCGACCAACTCTTTTAGCAGCACATAAAATATAAACTACAGTTAAAACTTGAAAAAAAAAAGTCACAATGCCTTGGGAGACTGGCATGGATGAACATGCTTCTTTACTTGTGATGTTTGACAGCAAGTTGTGCTAACACTCTTCCATACTGTGACAAAAGGTTGTTATGAATTGTTGCTCGTTGCCGCCATCCATCTCTTTTCCCAAAATCTGTCCACTTGTCAAAGAAGAAAACTTTTAACGTTGTTTCACCTGGACACTTGGCACAACTATATGGAAAAGCATGCACCAAGTATGGTTTTGGTTCCAATACTCTGGCAAGTGGGGCCACAGGTAACAAGACATCTGAACCTTTCTGCCAAATAGTATGACTCTTGATGGTCAGACATTTAGAACTTTACTTCTATGCCATTGTACATGTGTCTATCGGACATGTATACCCAGTGCTTCTATGCCATTGTACATGTGTCTATCGGACATGTATACCCAGTGCTTCTATGCCATGGTACATGTGTCTATCGGACATGTATACCCAGTGCTTCTATGCCATGGTACATGTGTCTATCAGATATGTATACCCAGTGCTTCTATGCCATGGTACATGTGTCTTCAGTGCTTTTATGCTATGATACATGTGTCTATCGGACATGTATACCCAGTGCTTCTATGCTGTGGTACATGTGTCTATCAGACATGTATACCCAGTGCTTCTATGCCATGGTACATGTGTCTATCAGACATGTATACCCAGTGCTTCTATGCCATGGTACATGTGTCTCCCGGACATGTATACCCAGTGCTTCTATGCCATGGTACATGTGTCTATCAGACATGTATACCCAGTGCTTCTATGCCATGGTACATGTGTCTATCGGACATGTATACCCAGTGCTTCTATGCCACGGTACATGTGTCTATCGGACATGTATACCCAGTGCTTCCAGGCCATGGTACATGTGTTTGTCGGACATGTATACCCAGTGCTTCTATGCCATGGTACATGTGTCTATCAGACATGTATACCCAGTGCTTCTATGCCATGGTACATGTGTCTATCAGACATGTATACCCAGTGCTTCTATGCCGTGGTACATGTGTCTATCAGACATGTATACCTAGTGCTTCTATGCCATGGTACATGAGTCTATCAGATATGTATACCCAGTGCTTCTATGCCATGATACATGTGTCTATCGGACCTGTATACCCAGTGCTTCTATGCCATGGTACATGTACACCCAGTGCTTCCAGGCCATGGTACATGTGTCTGCCGGACATGTATACCCAGTGCTTCCAGGCCATGGTACATGTGTCTATCGGACATGTATACCCAGTGCTTCTATGCCA